ATGACTGGAATGTGACATCGGTATTTTTAATCCTGCCAAATATGCTGTTCTGCCGTGCTCATGAAAAGACTTGCTCTCTACCTTTTGTACTGGACTCTTGCTCATGCACTCAAGCGATGCACAGACTGAGCTCAGTTTATCCTGCGTGCGCGCAGCATGTGTTTGGCTTTACACTGTGAGTAAAGTCCTGCCCTGCAGTCTCACAGCGCCGGGGGGATTAGGAGCTGGCTTGACGACCGCTGACCTGCTTGCTCCTTTACAAGGCAAGATCAGCTATCAGGCTGCTGCTGCTTTGTGCCCTGCTGTTTGAGGGTTGTGTCAGGGATTCCTCCATAAGTGCACTGGGGTTCACCAAGCAGTTGGGGGCAAAGGGAGGTGGAGGTGGGAGGGAGGTGGGGGTGTAGCCTTTGGGCCATCTTCAACGCTGTCACACGTTTCCCAAAAAAAGACTGGACGTCATCTGTCAAAGCCCTCATCAAAGATCACTTTCGAGCCCCCCAAGTGGGACACACTTTCATGTGTGCTGTGACCAAATAGAGGTAGTGTTGCCATGGATACTGCTGCAAGCAAGGGCAAGTACCAGGTTTTTCTAATCAGGCTTGAAAGAGGCTACTGGCAGGCTTAGTGGTTTGCAATAACTGACAGCCATGTCATACAATACAATTTACAGAATTGCATAATTCAATACAAATCTTCTAAAACACATGTACAACATGGATTTAAAACAAAACATTACATAATCGCCCTACAAGCTACAAATTCAGAAGGATTCAAAGGCATTCAACATGATGTGGGTCATATTGTTATATAATATGGTTTATATTAACACAAGTAGTTGCTGATTCAGCAACAGGCTAACTGAGAGGGTTACAGAAAAACAAAAAAACAACAGAAGACAGGATGTAAAAACAGTAGAAAAAGTTCATGTTCAGTGGGAGGAGTTAAAAAAAGCTGCGATGAGTTGTTGTCTGAGAAGGGAAAAGAAAGACGACCAGCAAGAAAAAAAAGGAGGAATGAGAATGAGAAAGGCAGAAACGGGGAAATAAAAAAAAAGTGTGTGTGCAGAGGGAAACAGAGGCAGAGGAGGTGTGGCTCAACATACATCTTTGGGGCTCATTATGGCAAACACATCAGATCATGTGCACGCCGTCGAAACTGCAGGAAGTTCACGATGACAGGAGGAGTTGTTCAGGGAGACACAAACTCAAGGGAGGTGTGGCTCTACTCTTTGAGCGGAAGTAAAAGGGGTGATGGAAAGCTGCTTTCAGATGAGCGTGAGTAGTTTGCGCATGCATGTGTATAAGGGTGGAGCTCCATGTAACAGGATCTCGACATGAAGGGAAATGCAGGCTCAGTCCAACTCTCTAATGAGAGGGAGAACCTGATCAGAGTCAGATGGGGTGCCCCGAGCGCACAGCCCCCTGCAGAAAGTGCCGCCCGACACCCTTTGTTACCTCCAAGTGAGCTGAGACCAGCCCATGAACCATGTAACTAGGTGGTTTCCAGGTTAATGAAAAGCTGTAACTCCGGTCCCACTGTCTCTCTCTGCTAAACTGACGACTGCCCTCCCTCCCCACACCGCATCGCACCCTCCATCTTCACCCCCACATTCCTGCCCCTACCCATGGAGGCGGGGGGTCAGGGTCAGGGGCAATTAACGGTTTACTTTGTGCGAAGTATGCTACATTTACATTTTGGGCTGATTATTATCTAACGTGACTCACAATGAGAAAAATGTTTCAATTTCTGGATTCACTTTAATTTTTGGATTGTGTGTGTATAAAAAACAACAAAGAATGAGAAACAGAACTGTCACAGTTGCAGATGTGAAGTTACATAATAATGCAATAAATAGTGAACTGAACTTTAAATAGTCCAGAAAAATCATTGCACACAACCGTTCTCAAATATATAATGCTTTATTCCCCAAAGCGATTTCAGCTATTTTGCCTTCATCCAACCTTAAACCTCAGTGGGTTTGTGTTATCAATGAAAAAATAAATATAATTAAATGGGATTGGAGGAGGATCTTCTGCTTTTCCCTGTTTTATATCATTGCAAATGGCATATCTTTGGGTTGTGAGTTATTTTGGACATGGCTTACTGGTACTGCCACTACAGGCCACTACAACTGTTGCTATTAACAGCTATTTGTCCAGTAAAATAAATCTTAAAGGACCATTGTGTTGGATTTAGTGGCATCTAGGTGAAGTTGCAGATTGCAACCAACTGAATACTACTCACCTTCCAAGTGTGTAGGAGCAACTACAGGGGCAGCTTAAACCCGAGAAAAACACGAAAGGCTGTATCTAGAGCCAGTGTTTGTCTGCTCAGGGTTACTGTAGATATATGGCAGTTAAACATAGTGAACTCCATAGAAGAGGACCCGCTCCCTCTGTAGATAAAAACAGCTCATTCTAAGGCAACAAAAACACAACAATTCTAATTTTCAGGTGATTAAACACTGAAAACATACTTATGAATATTATAATCCATTTCTGCCAATAGATCCCTCTGAACGTTACACACTGGACCTTTAAACAAGACACTGAACCTCTCCCAGCTTGTTTGTTGCCCAGCTATATGCCATACATTCATGTGCTTATCTCAAAACGGCCAGCACATATTTATACACATTCAACTCGTTCACAACGATGAAAGAGGTTATAAGTCACACTGATGGAAGGTGGCTCTGCAGGAGACCCTCAGATGTAAGATAGATGTACTTGTTAGCAAAGGTGAGTGAAGGGGGTCATGGCTTGACTGGTCAGCGAGCAACACAGCGGGGAGTGAAAGTGCAACAACAAAGGCAAAAAGACACACTGAATCATCTGACAGGACTTTCACCTTTACGTCCCATATCTAAAGCAATGTCCAGTGTGGTCTAGTCAAATATTCGCCATCATTACCCAAAAGCGTATTCCCATCAGTGTTTCTAATAGACATCCAGAGCTATTGTCATAATGGGCTTGCTTTTCTACTCTGCTTCAAAAATATCCAATAAGTAGTCCAAATCTTATGCTATCAATCATGTTGGTAGTTATGTGTCAGTTTTTTTCAAAGCTCTGGAACACAGCTATTCATTTATCTGCCAAAGCATCATCTTGGAGGATGAATCAGTATTTGTTTAAAGGAAAAAGCTGCCAAATGCTCTGATTCATAATAGCAGCATTTGGGTACTTTCTACACCAACTGCTGCAGCTAATCCAAAATCTGCAATCCACTGCCAGCTCCTACTCCCCCCTCAGAGAAAGAGAAGAAAGATAAACCCTCATTTGGAAAATAGGTAAACATCAGCTCCTAGGCAGGTACACATTTAGTCAAGTTTACCTTGAAACAAAAAAAAAAAAAAAAAAGGAAAAGGGAGACAGAAAGAAAAAAAAAATCCCTTTGATTCTGAGTTGGTGGAAAAAAGTAAATTTACTCCAGTTGCTGTTCAATTTGGACCAGTGGACATTAAAGCAGGAGCCGGTGCCTAATAAGAGCCATGCCTGAGAGAGAGAGCGAGAGAGAGAGAGAGAGAGAGAGAGAGAGAGACCCAGTGGAGGTGTGTCTGTGTCTGACTCTCGGCTCCAAGGTTCTTGCTAATAGATTTCAGCTCCCTCAGTGTCCCAATTAGCTGGTATGTATGCTTGGTTTATGAATTCATGTGTGGATATTAAGTGTGTGAACATGCACATACAGTATGCATGCATATCTGTGTGTACGTCTGGCATTCAAAACAAGCAGCAACCTCCCGTTGTTAAGACACTCTTGGGATTGTATGAAGCTTCAAATTAAAAGAAAAAAAAGACAATCCTGTTTCTTGCATTTTGTTAAAAAAAAAAAAAAAAGTTTACCCCCTTAGCCAAGACCAAAAGGAATCAATTTACATGGACCCATTCTCAGCAACAAAACACCTATCAACATAAACACATGGCGACACAAACAGAGAAAACAAACAGATAAACCTGTCCAGTTTTAGAGCAGCTTTTACCGCTTTTTAAGGAAGAGCATTACAAAGAAAATAGTGAGTGCACTTTTAACCCTGACCCCGTGTGAGGACGGACAGGCAGAGCTCAAGACTTACCTGTAATAAACCCCCATAGCTTCTACACGTGACCATAAATCACACTGTGTGCCTTCAAAGTATCAAATATCGACTAATACAACACCGCTCACCCCTGGCTTTTATCCCTGCGTTTCCTTCTCTGTGTTCTGGTGGTGGCACTGCCTTCAAAGTGCAACCATCTCACTTTTTTAAAAGGCACGCCAAGCAATTTATTTACCAAGAAACTGCTGCCGTAAATGACAGAAAAAGCAGTACAATTTACTGACAAGTATGGGGCAGGGGGGCTAAGAACAGAGCCAGAGGTCTTGGCTAGGCCTGTGAAAGACTATAAAGCTTTAGTAGTAGCCCACGACCTGTTTATGGCTGGCTGAGACACTGTGGTGTGAGGCTCCTGATCACTCAACAGCTCAAGACTGCTGCCGCTCTTGCATAACACACAAACAGGAGATGGTAACGGAAAACAAGCTATTAAACGTAGCCAGTGCATTTAGTGGCATCTGATTCATCCTGCATGTCCCTTTCTTTCATATGAACCACAAACCATACCAAAAAAAGAACAACAAAAAAAAATGGTTTGATTCTTTTTTTTAAAACTTAAATTAAGTAATAAGGTAAAATATTTGAGTGATTTGCGCACATAAAACATCTAACGTTAACATTGTGTGGGGAATGAATGCGTAAATGATGCATTTCATTTTCCACAAAATGTCTAAAGCTCTTGGCATTGGTGCCCACTTGTGTGGAGAATGAGTGCAGGGCTGGCCAGGCCCGCTGAGCTGGGAAAAAAGACCTGGTATGCTCGGAACTTCACTACACAGACCGAAATACCCACCAAGAGCATTCAAGGCAGATGTGGACTAAATATTGCTTTCTTGTAAGTATATGTTAAGTAAAGTTACATAAACTAGGATTTAATGTCTGAGTTGTTGATGTTGAATGGGTGGCTTACCTGGTCTTCACTACATCAAGGGGATGCATCAAGCAGATCTCTACCAGACCTAAAAAGCAGAAACAGTCAGGATAAGTCACTTTAATAATGGACATTTAGGTGAACGCTGTTCTCAGTTTTTAGGACAATTGGAGGAGATTTTTCTCTCCATAAATATCTGATATTGTGAAAGCACTAGTGTCAATACAATTAATTCTGAGCCAAAGTGAAGAAAACCTATTTTAAAATCCCATTGACATGTGTGACAATGCTAATAACCTTTCTGAACAGTGTGTTGTATGTTTCACTTCAAAAGTTCAGATAAGGGCAAAACACACACACAAAGTAAGTAAGTAATAGAAGAATAGAAGAAAGTAATATCATTGTTTATTAAATATTTCAGGGTTTTAATGAACACCATTTCCCATAAGCATTATACTATACTCCAGCTCTGGCTTATATAACTGTAAAGTGAACAAAACGAGGAATATGAAGTTGTTTTTTGGACAATTAACAACACATTTAAATTAATATACAAACAATTAAAAATGTGTTTTTTTTCTTGTTCGACAGTTGTTTTTTTCTTCACTGTGCAGAATGATTTTTGAAAGTGGAAAGTTCCTCTGTTCAATGAAAATCTGATTTGTTGCAGCCATAGAGGGCTCACTGGTCTGTCCTGAAATGTCCGACCTAACCAGTCTATGTCACATTCTTCATTTTCTTTTATTTCCTCATTTCGTTTTACAACAGGCACTCACTCTTTTGCTGTACAGCAGTCTAATCTACAATGGACCCAATGTGGATGCATATCTGTTCTAAGGATCAGATTGCAACGTAAATCTGATGTGTTCCGTCAAGTGTGACAGCTCACCTTAACAATCTGATAAGTTTCTTAAATTCCTTAAAAGTCAATGGATGTTTGTTTAAGATTTATGTCTTTCATTTCTAAAGCAGCTCTAAAGTGAAAGTGTTGTGAAAATGCACTTTTTGTTGCTACCAAATGGTTCTGACAGACAGCCAGCGCCAATGCCAACTACCTTAGTAATTCTTGGTGTTTTGAGCTTTGTGCCATCTTTGCAAGAACATGGGTCTGAATGAGTGATCCGATGAGACTTCTTTCCACAGTTCCTGAGAGTCACTATAATTGTCGGCATTTTGAAGGGCTGAAGCCACCAACCATATCATCCTTGAAAACCCAGTACATCAACAATGTGCCAGCAGCTGGAGAATCAATGCAGCCGGGTGATCAGTGAGGGACTCTGAGGTTTCACACACACGCTAACTATGTGCATCTGTGTTGAAAAGCCACTGCTTTGGCACAGAGGCCTTCTGACTCAATCAGGGTTTCTTTTTTTTTAACTCACAATTCTCACTGCATCCCTTTACTGGGGCTCTGAGGGCTTCCCTTGCAGATTCCACTGTGTGTGTACACAGCTGCTGTGCAATATGGACTCTTTCTAATTTGCTCAATTAAACATATTGTCTATAAAAGAATGTGTCTACTGGGGTTTTTCCAGGGAAGTAATTATCAAGTGAACTACCACAGGAAAAATTACTTTGTCTACAGCTGAATCTTAATATACGAATGGGAGGACCAAGAACTACTGAACCAAGCTACCGTCAGGAAAGAGTCAAACAAAATTCCATCGGTTACGGCTCAGTTGACCTGACTATGGTTGTTAAAGATACTGCTCTGAAAAGGTAAATACAAGACTACTTTGGACGCATTATTTTCTGGCCTCGCTATTAATAGGCCTGTAGTGAAGATGAAGCGCATCAAATCTTTCAGCAGGTAATCAGATTACATGACGAAACCGAACCCGCCTGCCTGCTTGATCAGCCTGTGCAAACACGAAGATGCTAAGAAGTGACCCAACATGCTCCAACAGGTGATGCAGTGGTGGGAGAGCAAAGTTTCCTCTCAATCTCATTCAGTACACTTGGGACAATAAGTCTGAAGCTAAAACAAAGAGAAGGCTGAAGTAGCATCTTCTAAAATTTCGCAAATCTCCAAAAGACTGCAGCGAATTGTGTGATTGTGACATTAAAATAAAGCCGTATTCACCTTATAATAACAGGGGAAAAAGTTCCATATACGGGATTCATGGGGAAGTCGGTGGGAACTAATATAACTTATTGGCAAATGACTACCAGGTGAAATGACTTTTTCAAAGACGTACAGGCTACGATATGAACATTGTCAGATCACCATACAGACTTAAACTGTGTTTTTATAACTGATTCTGAAGGCTGACAATTCGCCAAGAAAACGTTTCCAATTTGGTCTCGAAAGGATCATGACTTACAGTTAGTTAGTTAGAAACATTCATTCATTTGTCTTCCAAGTTTAATCAGGCAGAAGCCTTCAGCCACTGGCTCAGCATCGGACCATTGCAATAATGAAGAGCTCATGCAAAATCGTTTTTCCTGGTATATTGTGAATATGGCATAAGTTTGCCATTAATTATTACTCTTACTGCTAGCTAAAGGGTGCTACATTTTCTTTTTACAGGTAAGGTATGCGTCTGTAATATTAGTAAACTCTGAAAGGCATAAAATACACTGGAGTTTAAATAATAATAATACAGATAATTAGATAATAATAATACAAATAATACCATAGAGAGAACAACAGCAGCAGTAGAGAACATATTAGTGAGGTAAAGATTTCCATCATCAACAAACTATTAAATAATATAACTAAAAATAAATAATATTTTCCTTTATAACCAAAGGGGAGCACTGCTACTGGTTACTTGTACCTGCAAGTGAACGGAGCAGCTGTGCACATCTGGATACTTCACTTAAAATGATTCACACTAGATTTTGGGCCTCATCGTAAACCTCAGATTACAGGAACTCTAAAGGATACAGGTTACCAAATGCTTCATTAACTTGAAGGTAACAGTAGTTAACACTCTTTACTAATTATCAGGCCTGCCCCACCGTGCCATTCAGGTACAGTGATTAGTTCAGTGTGTTGGGTTCAGTTCTCAGGCTGTCACTGTTCGGTTGTCTAAGTACACTATGGACCAGTGTCTTTAGGTGCGCGGTGAATGTCAGTTAGCAATGCATGTGGTACCTCCAAGATGGCAGTTGCAGAAAGATTATGTGATGACAAGTGTGAATGCAAAACTACGTTGTGTTTATTTGAGCGTCTAACGCCCTTGCAGACGAGACACCTTGAAAAGAGCTGCTGGCAGATGAGACGACAGACTGTAGGGGTTCGAAGAAAAACAAAAAGAAGAGAAAGTGCACGATAATCCTAAATTGACCGTTGTTTGATATCCAGCGTGGCTCTTGTTTGAATTTCTATCTACACTGCTAAGTGATGAGGTTGGCTACACAAGACAGAAATGAATGATTTAGTACACTTCCCATGCCAACACATATCCAACTGACTACTGATGTTACCTGAGGTATTCTATTCATCAAAGAAATAATTCACCAACAGACAAAAACAAAATGTGTAATGACTAACGCAACCTATACAATTGATGGAATTGTTGGCGTGTTTCCACTTCATTCAGTGATTTCCTTCATGTCCTTTAGACTACATCCAGTCACAAAGGTCCTCTGTGCTGTATATGCAAAGGTGAAAAGAGCACAGTAAAAGTTTTTCCAGTCGAGCACAAGACAATCAAGAGAGAACAAATGCTGTTGTGTACCTTGTCAATCAAATGACAAAAAAAAAAAGCTGCAGGAGAGGGCGTTGTAGTTTTATAACTGATGACAGCTCTATAATGGATGCAACCTGTCACTGCAAAATATTTTGATCTGTTGAGACGATTCTTAGTGATGCATTTAATTGCTGATATTTTTGGGAGCTGTTTCTTGCTCCAGTTCTGCAGGAACTGTTTGATGGTTTAACCATATGTAATTATGACATAACACACTGCCGAGTATGATTGTCATATAATTTGCTAACAGCTCTGGTGGTGACACGTTATGGAAACGTCTCTGCGTCACAGCCTAAAAAACAAAACAAAAAAGCAACTTCCTTGACACCACTGCAAGGCAACTTCTCACTCCACTGTGCCCCTGTGCATCATGCTCTTCTACTCCAGCTGTCAGCACATACTACTGTTTAATCATAGAGTGCGGCACTAGTGAACCCACACGCTCTTGGGAGCACTTCACACCCCTCTATAGCCAGTGATGCACAGTCACTGAGCTTGGTAAGGGCAAACCGAGGGGATGACTTGCTTAGCTCAGCTTCCCCTTCTCTGGCTCTGACTTCTCCTGCAGGCACCCACCCACCTCCTCCAGCTGCATGCAGGGGGGGTGATATTACAGTGACCTGCCATCTGGTTGACGTTTATAGCTTTGCTACGCACCATTGAGTGACATATTGGGAGATTCCTTTATTTGAGGTCCTTTTGTCTCTGAACCACAATGGCAGTGACAGGGCTTGTCATCCACCGCCTTACAGACACACACACACACACACAAACTCAATGAGGCACAAGTGCTAATGGCTAAAGGAGTGTCTGGAGCACTGCCATTGAGACACACTCTTACAATGTACACTACAGGACGGCTATTTGCCATAAATGCATTCTGAGCCAAGGCACAGTGTAGAGGCTAATTGCGCAGTGGAAACACAGTGAGATATTGCACTGATTTTACACTGTGACAACATATAGTTTTGATTCAATGCCTGGTTTTTCTTATTGGACACAGCTGACGTCACATGCAGCGTTTTTTAAAGGCCATGAAATTTGGCTTTTGTCTCGGCTATTGGATAAGAAGACCATATGGCAGAAACAATTAGGCCCGGTGTTAAAAAACTGCTGCATCATCCCTTATTCAGTCTCTGGGACGGACCCAACCAGTAGCCTCACAGGTAGCACTAGTGTTGCCACCGCTGTATTAGTGAGACATTCCAGGTTGTCTGATGACTTGTCTTCCAAAGAGAGAAGATCATACATCATGCAGATGAGATGATTATCTGAGTTGGTTTTGGCTCGGGAATGCACACAGTTTGCTCCCACGCGAAAGTGAGAAAAAAAAACAATAGTGCGCTAGGGAGCGATTGCTCAACGGGTGCAGGTGTCATCCATCATGTGG